CTTACCTGTCCTATCTGTGAAATGGGAATGATAAAAATACCTAAGTGGGTTCCCCGGAGGATTGAATTAGGTGATGTTTATGAAAGTGTTATAAACATGCTTATAATTTTCTAAAATATATTTTATTATTAGTAGTAAATGAAAGGCATGGTGATTGCCTTCTGCAGAGTGATTCTAGAAATAGCAGGTGGGATCTAAATCAGAGGTCAGCAAGCCATAACCCATTGGCTAATTTTGATGGCTCTCTGCTTTTATTTTCTTATATTCTCTTTTTTTTAATTTAAATTCATTTAGCCAATATGTAGTACATCATTAGTTTTCAGTGTAGTGTTCAATTACTCATTAGTTGCATATAACGCCCGGTGCTCTCACATCACGTGCCCTCCTTAATGCCCAACACCCAGTTAATAAAGTATTTTTTTTAAAGATTTATTTATTTATTTGAGAGAGAGTGAGAGAGAGAGAGAGAGAGCACATGAGAGTGGGGAGGGTCAGAGGGAGAGGAGAGGCAGACTCCCTGCTGAGCAGGGAGCCCGATGCGGGACTCGATCCTGGCACTCTAGGATCATGACCTGAGCCGAAGGCAGTCGCTTAACCAACTGAGCCACCCAGGCGCCCCCCAGTTAATAAAGTATTTTAAATAAAGTATTATTGGATCTCAGCCACATCCATTCCTTCATGCACTGTCTTTTGCTGCTTTCCTTCTCTAACAGTAGAGTAGTTGCAACAGAGACCTGGCCCACAAAGCATAGATAGTTATAAAGAGTTTGCTGACCTCTGGTCTAAATGATCAGCATATTCTGCTTGTGCCCACTCCTCTAGTGACTTAAAACCATATTGAAATCTTGCTGTGCCCAGTCTGGTTTTCTCCTTTGACCTCCAGATAAAATCCAGCAGCCTTCTGGCATCTCCACTTGGGTGTCTCATGGTCATCTCAAGTAAAACTCAAGTTCAAAGCAAACCCGCCCTCTTTCTGCTCACGCATGCCATCCTGTGTTCTTTAGCACAGTGACTGGGCACCCCCTAGATTCCCAAATCAGGAACGTGGGGCTCATCCTAGGTTATGTCCTCATCCTCACTTCCCATTTCCCTTCAGGCTTAACCTTCTCCTGATTTCATTTTTAAATATTTCTGGGCACCAAGCCCACCTCTCCATCCTGGCTGACCTGGCCCTTGGCTGGGCCCTTCCCATCTCCTGACTGCATGACTCCCAACACCTTGGGTTGGACTTGCCTCTGAGCGCTATGTCCATGAGACAGACAGATTCTTTTCTTTTTTTTTTTTTCTTTTTTTTGGTGTGGTTCCCTGGTTTAAGGCTCTGCTGCTTCATTCTATTTAAAACCGGAATAGTAACAATAATCCCAAATACATGTATTCTGCTTTCAGAGCTTACAAAGCACTTTCATATTCATGATTTCTGATTTCTGGAACAGCCTGGGGAGGGACCTGTTATAATCAATTATCCATATGTATCCATGGGAGGGACCAGGGTATCAAGGGGTTACGTGCTTGCCTAAGGTCACCTGCTTTAAAACCATAATCCGGACCTAAGTCCCCGACTCTGTGCATTTTTCTTTCTTTTTAAGAAGATTTTGTTTTTGTAGATTCTTCCTCCTAAAGCATCTGAAGTTCAGCTTTCTTTTCCCTCAAACACTAGAAATCCATCAGGTAATATTTTATATGTCTTGGGTTCCCACTACGAAGATCGGTATTAAAAACATGACAGCGACTTATTATTTATGGCAATATCTATCGTTACTAAGGGAGACAGACCAAACAATTCCCCATTGTTATAGATGCTACTTTGACTTGACAGCTGGGCAAGTCTGATAGGCAGTTTATTTACTTAGCCATTTAACCAAATAAATGTTTTCATTTTTCTTTCATCTCCTCAAAAGCTAACATTTCGCCCTTAAAATTGCTCCAGCAACACATCAGTGAAGTATAAATTACCTGCCATTCCCAAACCAGCCATTACAATATTATTTTGGTTCTTTTTTTTCTGGCCCTGTTGACCCAGTCTTTCAAAGACACGTGATTCTCCCAGACAGGGGGGGAGGGGGAGAAAACAAAATAATTCCCTTTATTGCTAAAACAGAAACACTGTTTGAGATTGGTCCTGAAGCTTCCACCTGTGAGGACTGAGTCCATTTGTTCCCTCTTATTATGGTGCGAGATGGCTTTCACTTATCAACAGATGTCCCCCTACCTACTAAGAATTGTGCCAGTATTTCTAATGAAAAGCAGCTGGAGATAAAATGCAAGGGTGATAAGAAGGACGAGACTCCTGCCTTCCAACTGTATGAAGACAGAGGGGAAAAGAGAGCCACGGATGTGGCTTTCCCTGCATGGTATCCCTTCTTCAAATGTCTGGAAAGGCACGAAGAAATTGCAGTTAGTAGATTTCTAGTTGGGTGGATGAGTGAATGTGACAGAGGCGGAAGGGTCAAATGTGGCTTGGGTTGCTAGTGATGGAAGGGCCCAGGAAGGCTCACTTGGACTTCCCTCGCAGGGGAGGTCTTTGGGGATATGTCTGCAAGGCTGGCATCAGCCTGTTGGCAAGGGATTCTTGATAGGCAATTGTGATGTTGCCAAGCTTAGTGTTCAAAGGGAGAAAACTGTTTCATTGAAGATTACAGTCCAGCCCTTTCGGTGGGGGGAGCTATTGATTATAAGTCAATATGAGACTGCTCATTTTTTAGAACGGAGAGGTGGCCTGTGAGACCCTCACGGAGGTCATTCTGATTATGGGACTGGGCAAGCCAGAGAGCTAAGATACTAAATTTTTCTTTTCCTACTTTTTTTCCCTCCAAATCTGTTTTGAGGCATATTGGAAATTAATTATCTGAAGATAGGAGGTACACAGCAAAACCTCCCAGCCAATGGCCTGGGTCCTTATGGTATAATTTATTCATTATCAAGGCAAGATGTATAAAATCTAAGGTACTGGGGAACATTTATTGAGCACGTATGATGATGATGGTCATGCTGGTGGTGATGACAGCTACCATCTATTGGGTGCTTTCTATGTGTCAGATGCTGTGCTAACCTCATTTCGTCCAAACAACATCCCTTTGAGGAGGACACTGTTTTTATCCTTATTTTCAAAAATGAGAGAGCGAGTTATTATGAAATCTCATTAGGGTCACAATTCTAAACTCAGTTTTGCTCCAGAGCCCAGATTTTTAAGCTGAGTGCTGAGTGTCTGTCTCCATGCTAGAGACTGCACTACTATCTCTGCTAACCTAGCTGATAATAGAAGGCTCTTCTAGCAGATGAAGAAGCCAAGACTCAGAAGAAAGTATGGTTCTTGCAAGATTTCCTGCTATTAAGTAGCTGAGCTAGAATTTGAATTCAAGTTCCAAATCCTGAGCTCTTTCTACTGTCCCGTGTTCCGTCCATTTACAACTCAGCTGTGGCTTGGGGTTCTGGATGGAGCATCAAACATGGAAGAGGCTGAGGCCCAAAGAAACAGTTCAGCTTGTTTGTCTCAAGCTGAACAGGCTCATAAAGATGATACATTGATCTGCAAATGGTGTAAGTCATCTTTGTTTTCTAGAAGAACTTCAATTTTAGGATGATGTTAGCTGTTATACTGATGAATGGCTCTTGTCACCTCTAGTTCATTCATCAAATTTTTCAAGACAAGGTTGAGCACATGAAATAAAACATACACAAGGGGTAGAAAACCTCTTGGGGAATCTTTCCAAGGCATCCACCCATAATCCCCAGCTCTTCTCCTTTCTGGAACATTGACTTTACCTTTAATTCACCAGCTTCCCAAATAGCTTTGCAAGACTGAATTTTTAGAGGGGTATTACATGGCTTTGCGTGGCATGATGTGTTATCATATGTTATTGTACTGATAGAAAATGTGGCAAAATATACAGTATGTTAAGTTCTTTAATCATAAAATCTATTAACAAAATACACTTTCCAAACACTGTATTAGTTTTCAATAACTGTCAAAATAACTTCCATGTGAACTGAGAATGATTTTGAGGCAGCCTCAGAATCCATTTATGAACGGTGAAAACTATTTACCATTTTAATGGCTCTGACCATGCTGTTCAGGACTAAGGAAGGAGCTCTGTGGGTAGAGCCTTGCAGTCCTACACGTTTACGGAAAACTAGGAAAAGCATCTGAAAATTGAACACATTTGTCAAGGAGTGACCTCAGAAATCATGTCTAGGGAATGAGGTGTACTTCTGTCTCCTGAGAAGGTTTGCTTCATCAGCTCCTCTTTCTTTCGATCAAATCAGAGGTATTGAAATTCAAGTGCCAGAAGCTACTTCTAGGAAATGTAAGTACACTTCTTTCAAAGTAGCTGCTGATGGAATCTGAAGTGGTTCGGTGGTGAGTCATATGCCTTAGCACAGGTGCAAACAGCAGAGCCTCAAGCGAATGCTACATGTCTTTGAGCTTTGAATTTCACTCTTACATTAGTAAGGGTGAGGGGGTCCCTTTTGGCCACACAAAATGGGCTAGTGTGATTGTACATCTCTAGCCATCTAATTTCAAGCCCGTTTCGATTTTGCTTCTTAGCCTGGCTTCTCAGGATGTTTGGTTGGTGACCTCTTTAGATCTGTGGAGTGTAGGCAAATACAGTGATGCTTTGCTTAAAAGATGAAAGCATTTGGATCACACCACAGTGAGAAATGAATCAGGGTGGGCAGAATGTGTCCATCTTGCAATGCTGATGTTTCGTGAAACTGAATCCACGTTGAGTAGTAGGGACCATGCCTCATTCTATCACAGAACGTATCATTAATAAAAGAATATGACCATTCCCCACTCCTCACCCCTACCTCTACTTAGCAGTATATGTCAAAGGTCATGCATCCATGAGGAGACACAAGATGGCAAATAGCAAGCAAGGAGAGATGGTGTGAACATCGGGGATGTGACTTCAGAAATGGAAGGACAAACCAAGGGGAAAGGAGAGAGCTTAAGGATGAAGTAGATAAAAAGAGCAGATACCTACCCAGACCTGTGCTATCTAGCTACCAGCCTGCGGACTTATGTTATCACCACTGGGCTCCCCACTGGGCTCCCCAAATGGATCACTGCTGGATGAGGCCTGTGATCCATCAGGCTAGAACACAAGAAGATAACACTTTTTTTTTTTTTGGTCTTTTCAACAACGGAAAGCAAAAGACAGCTGGGCTTATTTTCATGCGTACATATAATCAGTTATTTTCAAGGAGGCAGGGACTGCAGTTGGAGGACACCACACCCACCAATGCGGGAACATGCGGGGAACGACTTCATGAAAGGGCATCTTTCAGCTGCTCATTAGAACATCAAAGAAAGCCCCCCTAGGAGCCCCACTCAGAACTTGAGACTCTGAGCCAGCATTCTTTCCCTATGCGGGTTTTCTCGCCCAATGTCCATTTCAGATACAGCAGTTTTAATTTTAAGGAAAAGCAAACCCAGAAAGAACAGACTGGTCACTTACAGCTTCTTGCTCTTCACTTTTGCTGGGACTTTCAAAGCCCTCTTCGAAGATGTCATCTGTGGCGGGATCGCTGGCGTGGGACGCAGATGATTTGGATGGAGAGCTCTGTCGAGGGGCTGGGGTTGGAGCTACACAGAAATGAGGCACGAAGAGGGAACAGAGTTAAGTGGCTGCAACCACGTACCTCCCCCTCCAAGACCTCGGGGATCTGGTTATAATCGAGTTAAGTCCGGCACTCTGCTTTCTACCCTGAACACCTCATCTGTACATATTTATCTTGTCCTGTCCCACACTTGACAGGTAGGAGTGGGTGCCCATTGATGGGGCAGGCGGTGGTTCTCCAAGATTGGCCCTTGGATCAGCAGCACAAGCACATCCGGGAACTTGTCACAGATGCTGTCTTGGACCCCAGACCTACAGGCTCAGAAACTCTGTGTTTCTACACGCTGAAGGTGAGAATCACTGAACCAGTTTTTCTTTCTTCCCTCTCTCTTAACACCGTACATGTACTTCAGTAAGAATAAATAGATCAGAGGACAGCGATATGCATTTATTGAGAGCCTTCTGCATGTTGGATACTGTCAGAAACTTTACGGATGGTATCTCTAACCCACAGAAAGCCTCTTTTAGGCAGGGGTGATCCCAGTTTTACGGCTAAGGGAAGTGAGGTCGCTAAATTGCTCAAGGCCCCGTAGATGGTGGCTGGTGGAAGCAGGCATTGTATCCTTACACACGGTAGGTTTGTGTAGAACACGTGTTGAATGAAGAGTGCCTCTGTGATGTGGGAAAATGGGAGGTCGCTGCTGGCAACTTTATTCCTCACTCCATAAGGACATGCATTTCTGTCCTGGCTTTCCCACACGTTCTTCCTCCCATTTGTTCCAAAGGTTAGAACAAATATGCCATTTGAAGCTATTCTTCTTTAAATAATTTCTAATTTGGCATTAAAACGCCAGTCACTGGCTCAGCCCCAAGTGAGGAGGTGGCGTGGCTTGATTTAGTAGCTAAATTTCAAATGCCACTGATAAGCAACCCCCTCCCCCATCACTGCCCAGAATTTCCAAAATCTGGCTGCTTATCAGACAGCAAATGATTATCAAACTTGGTGAGTACCTTTTGCCTTGATGGATTTATACTTAGAAGAACGATGTTATTTGCTGTGTGCCCAGCGAGCTGGGCACGGTGCTCGGCATTTTGTACTCACTGCGTTCTCTAATGCAAATATGGCAAAGCAGTGTTGGACCTATTGTTCTTTCCTGATGAAGAAACTGCCCTCCGAGAGGTGAAGGGGTTTTCTCAGGGTCAAGAGAGCCACGGAACAGGAGTGCTGGGATTTAACACAGCTCTGTCTACACTGTCCGCCCAGCTGTGAGCTTTTGGTCCAACTGATCCTCTACTCAAAACATTCTGAAGGTGATGCTCATGGATAAAAGGATATAAAGACTGGTTTCACTCATTTTCTTTACAATAAAACATTATTTTTTTTAATTGAAAATCAAGTCTGTTTTGTTTTATGAGATGATTATGGAACTGACTCGCTCTAGTGGGTTTAAATGAGATAGGCAACATGAGGACAGCCCGATGCTCGACAGCTGTTGAATAAATGTTAGTGTAACTGGATTCCAAATTGGGTTTGAAGTGGCTTATTGCTTATGGAAGGCTGAGAACCCAGCCTGAGCTGCCAGTTGGAGAGAGGTGTATTGGTCCTACTTATCAGATGAAATCAATCGGAAGCCTAATTAGGAGTTCATTTATGCAAGTGTCTTAGCCTTTAGAAGGTTGTTCTAGAACACCTGTATAATGTAAAAGAGTGGTTCTAAATTTGGGGCAACTGAAATCCTGGGGGGCATTTGGCAAAATCTCGGGTCATTTTTGACTGTCAGGACTAGGGGGGACAGGATGTGTGCTTCTGGCATCTAGTGGGTGGAGGCAGGGAGGCTGCTCAACATCCTCCAAGCAGAGGGCACGCCCCACAACAAAGCATTACCTGACCCCAAATATCAGTAAAGCTCCCACGTTGCAAAACCTTGCTCTGAAACACAACAGTGACTGAGTGGCCTTTGTTCTGTTCATTTCAATCTCTACGACTTCTCCCAAATGTCTCCCATGCACTAGACGCCATGCTAGCACTATGAGAAGTGTACGAATGACTAGGACACATTTCCTGCCCTCAAAGAACTGAAACTTCCCTTTTATTTGTAGCTGGCACACAAGCCCATTGCAAGAGAGACACTTGCTTTCAAAAGATGCTTGCTTATTTATGCGTGGCTCTCATTCTCTCAGCATTTTATTTTTTATTCATTATTCTTCACTGAAACCCTGTGACTTAGAGCTAATAGAGATGCCTCCACTAGAGAGATCACATGGCCTGAGTGGGAGTAGGTTGTTTATACACACAGAAGGCATTCCTTTTCAGAACTGCCTTCTGAACCTGGCTGAAATGACACTACCTAATTGTGTTAACATTAGATTTTTTGACAATTCTCACTATTGGCCGAGCAGTGATCCCTATCATCTGCGACAATAATGAAAACGCCAAACTCATTGTTCCCTGAGACTTTTCTCTTTCTTATCAACTGTCAAGGCACAAGCTGAATTACCGGACACCTTTCCGAGTATATGCGTGCTCAAGTGTATCTGGATTCTGGTTGGCTGCGTGGTTATGGCTTTCTGGATGTTTGCAGCAGAAAAGTGAGCTGGGACAGAATCACTGAATGCCTCAACTAAAAGGAGGCACACTGCTCATCCAAGCCACTCAGGCCTTTTACCCATGACACAGCTGAGGTTAAGAGATGTCACACGTTTGCCCAAAGACAATCCTGGTCCAGGGATTCTGCTCAGAACCACCCCCTATGCAATCATAATGATGACAACAATACTTTAAACTTGGTGAGGTATACAGTGTTTCAGTACATGTACCACTGAATCCTTTTAATATCCCTTAGCCTAAGATAGATGAGGAAATTGCGGCTCACGGAAATGACTTGCCCATAGGCACAAAACTAGGAAGTGATAAATCTGCTCTCCGGGTTCCCAGTCTAGAGCTTTCTGCTTCACTACCATTTTTTCTCTCTGACTACCCAAAGCCTTGAGCCAAAATCTGGCTTCGACTGTACCAGTTGGATGAGACTTTATGGCTGCTCCTTTTCTCCCCTAAGTTTTTCTCTTCATCTTAGTTTTCTACTCTAATTTTTTTGTCCTTATTCCCCAGACTTCTAAAGTTCATATTCACCATTCATTTCCATTTCAATAAAGCCGTACAATTCAATAATCTGTGTGTCATAAAGGAGGGATACTGAATGAATGGGTAGATGAGCAAATCAACAAAAACATAAGCAGCAGAGTGACTGGTAGAAAAATAACAGGTTTGTATTTGATTCTACTACTCTCCTTGTCCTTGAACGTCACTTTCATTATTGGCCCAACAGGTCTAACAAAACCTGTAGTAAGCATTGTTATGAGTATAAAGGTAATAAAAACAATGTGTATGAAGTAGGTACACATAATTGGTAACTATTGTTAGTAGCAGTCGTAACATAAAGAGGCCTGTTGAATGTGAACTGAGATGAGTTCTCGGACTCCAGAAACAAAGCATCACTCTCAGTGGATTTACGTCTCCAAAGAAGGGCACTCACGTGAGTTGGTTGACGGCGTGGTAGAAGTCACAGGGGTCAAATTCAACTGCGAGATGTCAAAGTCATCACAGTCGTCTGTGTCTTGTGCCACCCCGACTTTGTTGAAGTAACTGGAGAAGGCCTCTGAGGTACAGGTGAGGGAGGGTTGGTCGGGTTTGCGGGAGGGCACGGGCGGAGGCTGGGCCATCTGGAAATCCTTAAACATTTCTTTCCCCATTTTCTGTCTGGGCGTCTCGGTCTGTGGACTTGCCCTGGTGGAGTCACCCGTGGTTGGGATGGTTGCAAGGGGGGTGAGGGGACCTTGGAACATGGCGGCTGGCAAAGGCATAACAGTTTGTGTGGGCATGAAGGCGGCTGGCGGGAACTGCCCGGCCACAGCTGGCCAGGGCTGCTGAGTGGCAGGGAAGAGACCCGGCTGGCCCCAGGCGATGGGCTGAGTCCCCGGCATCACCTGAGCGACTGGTGGCTGAGCACCCATGGCGATCTGCTGTTGGACGAGGGGCTGCTGGCCCCAGAAGGATGGGAGGACGGCGCCCATTGCAACATAACCTGGAAGGGTGAAAAAGAAGAGTCAGGCACCTGGGAAAGAAGAATTCATGGATTCAAGGGATCGGCAGAAAGATACCATATCAGGCTCTGTGCTACAGACCGGGGACAAGGATGAATAAGACAAAAAGTCCCTGCTCTCTTGGAGCATTCCTTCTAGAGCAATGGGCAGGGGAAACCTCTCGAAGGAGGTGATTCGTAAGGGGAAACTAGAATGCAGTGAGCGAGCAAGCCAGGCAGAAATCTGGGAGATAATGGTGATACTGCTATAATCATTCAAGGTTTCTGACCCCACACAGGCTCAGGTACTGGTGTGTCTCAGTGGAAAAGGCAGAGGACTAGAAATCGGGCCCATGTGGGTTTGAGTCCTGCCTCCCCTCACCAGACCGACCACTTAAGCTCTCTAAAAGTCAGGCTCTTTGTTGGAAAGCCGGTTATAAGATCATCCTTTTCAGCATCGAAGCCAGGTGCCAAGGGAAGAAGCATCGGGAGTGTCGGGGTTTTGAGGCCTAGGTTAACATCCGGACTGCCCCTTCTCATCTCTGGAATTGATGGAGAGCCCCACAAGCCCTCTCGTGCTCTATCTCCTTATCTGTAAAATGGGCACAGAATACTGTCTGCCTCACGGGCTTGGTTTAATTAAAGACAAACAGAGAGGACGTATTTGAGGTAGAGTACTGCACCTGACACAAAGTGAGCATTCAGTAAATGTTAGCACCTGGCGGGATTTGAATCAGATAGAGCCCAGAAAGTACATAATACCTTGCTTGGTCCACAGCAGCCAGGCAATAAATGGTAGCTCCAGGGAGTATCATACATTATTAACATACAATTGTGATGACGCCAATTTTAGGTGACTGTCTACTTACTCAGGAACCCCTCGTACAGTGGCATAGGGGGTCTCCTGACATACATTACCATGTTAATTGTTGGCTGTGCTACTTCCTTTCAGGTGAGATATAATCATTTTAAGAAGAGCACAAGTAACACTTTTCACAGGAGCAAGAGTAACACAGATAACTTTTTCCACTTATTAAATGCCTACAACGTTCTAAGTTCAGTATTTGGTGCTTTACATCCTCACAAAATCCCTGCAGAGTAGGTATTACCATCCCCACTCCAAGGATAAGGATATTGGTACTCAGAGAAGGAAAGGCTGTGCTTGGGGTCACGCAGTCAGCATGAAGGGGGATCAGGATCTGAACCGAGGTCACCCGTCCTCAGAGCTAGTGTTCTTCCCTCTGCATCACACTGCTCCGCCCAGACGGCCAAGACCAATTTCTGACCTTTGCAAAGTGCACCAGGTCTGGTCGCCCGCCTGGGGTTGCAGCAAACTGCAGGTGGGTCCAGAGAAACTCTCAGGTCCTTCCAGTGAGCCCTGCCCTTCCCTGAGGGCCCCGTAGCCACGTGCCTGTGCAGTTGAGCCCGGGAGACAGATGCCCAGGCCGGGCAGAGAAGAGGAGGGAGAAGCTGGGTTGGCCTGACCCCTCAAAACCAGCCTTTTCATGGCTGTCAGAAGGAGTTTGCAGGTGTGCAGCAGGGAGGCTAGGAAAAGAAGAGTGGGTGCAGGGTATCCTAGCAACTTCCAGAGGGAAGGCGGGCAGGCACTGCGGCATTGATAGTGTGCGTCCTGGGTGCTGTCAGGGACTCTGGGAAGCCCAGAGAAAGCGTGTGCGGTTTCACCCACTGCCTCACTCATGCTCCAGCCTCAGATCCCCTGCCCTTCAACTGATAGCTAATGAATGGGGATGACATTCCACGTCCGGCCATTTCCTTGAGAGGTGAGAGGAGTTTCCAGACAGGGCACACGGGCTTCTAGCTGATGAATCCAGCAGGATGCTGGACATGCTCTTATGGGGCGTCGACAAGCCAAACAGACCATATCCTTATGCGATCACTTAGCCCTAGGGCCCTGAAGTAAGAGGGCTGACGAGGTATTGGTGTGGACATTTCAGACCGGAGAGCTGCCTGCATTGCCTCTCACCTCACCTGTCACATCATAAGGCAGTGACTTGAGCCCACCAACAGACTAAGAATTCCGCAACTATTTTTCTCTTTTTCTGATTAGCTTTGATGGGGCCCTACGGTTCTCAATGGGAGTGCTATCGCCCCCTAGGGGGGGATGATGAGGACATTTGTGGATGTATTTTGGCTGTCAGGGTAACTTGCTAGAGGGAGACACTACCTGCACTTAAGAGGTGGAGAGCTTGGGTACCTGATATCCTATAATGGGTGAGACCAACGTGTACAACAAAGAAGTTCCCCACGTTCTGTCTACGATTATTTGAGTATGGGCTGGACTTTGAATTACCTAGAAATTCAAAGTTTCTTTGCATAGTATTAGTGTACTTAGTTTTTCAGGATTGTAACAACTGTGTACATTGAGGGCCGGCTGTATTTCATTTTGTTTGGAACACGGCCAAGATTTGCGCACCATTTGGGGAAGTTGTGGTTCCCGACAGAAACACTTCCCATGGGGTTCGAGCCGACACAGCGTTCGGGGATCCGTCTACACCTGCAGTGACTCTGTTGATAGGTCTACAGACCTGACCACTTAGTAGGACCTCTAGTGTAGATGTACCTGGGTATTTTCCTTATTGAAATAGATAGCTCTTTATTATAAATGAGCTTTTAAAAATTTCCTCCTTATATTCGAATGACGGCATTATATTGATTTTTAAAAAATGTGTGGCTAAGTTATATTATCTGTGAATTTCAAGAATTTAAAGGAGACATTACAAATATCTGTCCTAAAAAGGTGGCACTGGGTCTGACGTGGTAGAGACACGGATCTTTCAATGCCCATTTTGGTGAAGGGATGGAAGGTTTCAGCCTCCAGCCAGGCTATCTTTCATTTTGCTTCCACTGGAGGACTGCTCTAAAATGCAAATATAGTGCCTCATTGTCTGGAGTAAAAGGTTCAGATGCCTTAGCTTGGCTTAGGAGTCTTTAGGGATCAAGCCCCTTCCCAGCTCTTCATCCCATTTTCACTGGCACCTTCGCCTACCGCAGCTGCAAACCGCTCCCCCCCGCCGCCCCGGCCCTGCTCTCTCCATCTCTGCCGGTGCTTCGGCCTGGGAAGCCACCCCTACTTCATGTGGCTACTCCTTATGGACTCTCTGAGAATCCGCTCAGCATCAGCACTGCTGGGTGCCTTCCCTGCCCTCTGGACTCCATTGGTTCTCCTTCTCTGGGCTTCTGCAGACCCCAGTGTTCATCTCTCTGATGGCACTTGTCTCACTGTGTTGTAACTACCCATTCTGTCTTCTCTCCTTAGACAAGAAACCACCTGCTAGTAGAAACCCTCTATCTTCTCTTTCCCTGTCCTCTGTGTCTAGCACCGTTTGGGGCACACCTCAGCTGCTCCATAAATGCCTGAGACTGGGGACAGTCTCTCTGTAAATGGGAATGAGTCATAGCGGAGTCAATGCCTTCGCTGCATTTTGCCAAGTGTACAATTCAACTCCAAGATTGGTGAGTGCTGGGATGTCTAATGATTCTACTGTTGGTGGCAGGTTTTTCTCCCCCCCCTTTTTTTCCCCACAAGGAACCAACAGATGGGCTGTGCACACTTTTCTGGAGAGAGCTATTAGCATGTCTCCTTGGCTTCATGCCGTCTGCTTCAGACCCAAGTATAATATTCAAAAGAAAAAAAAAAAAACAGCACAGGGTAATTGGGTATCATGTTCGGGGACTCACAGGTCTCATTCACTTTTCCTGGGGGGGTGGTCTCTGCAGCCTGGGCTCTCCCCAGACCTGTGAGCTCAGGTTGTCTGGCCACATGACATCAGGCATGCCTGATGGGACCCCTCGGTGGCAGGCTGCGGCAGCCGTGGACAGGGAAGCCACTTGGTGGCTGCCGCTGCAGCCACTTAGCAGCTTAGTAACATTTACTCATTAATGTTCAGCAGTGGAGGGAGAAGGTGCCACGGAGCATCTGTTTATGCCACGGAGTTCAGATCAATCATAAATCTCCTTGCCGTGAAGTGAGGGGAACACCTGCATTACAGCCTTGCAGTTAGATTTTTAAGGATGGCTGAAAATTGCAGTTTATAACCAGATGCTTGCACCTGGGGATACCTCATTATCTGAATTAAAAGACCAGACTAAAATGTGAGAAAAACAACCGAAATCTAAGGGACTCCCCCAACATGTATGCAGAACTTGGATGGTAATGCTTATTTACGTGATCTCATTCATTCATTCATTCATTCATTCATTCAAAAAGAGCCCTATTGGGTATGAAGCACTGTTTCAATCTCTGGAGATGTAGTGAAGAACAAAACATTAAAAAAAAAAAAATCCTTGTCCTCATGGAGCTGACATTTTTGACACTGATCCTTGCAACAAGCCTCTGTGTAGTTGGTATCAGTCTCTTTACTCTGTGTCTGAGATACTGCAGCGGGCTGAGGGGAAGGCTCGAGGCAGCTACCACAGGGCCTGGGGAACAGAGCCGGCGCTCCTAATGGACAAGCTACAAACATCTGTTGACCGCTTATAGAAACACCACCAGGCACTGTTCTAAATGTTCCACTATGTGTATTAACTCATGCCATCGTCAGACCAGTTCTGTACGGTGGAATTACCATCCCCATTTTACAGATAAGCTCCCTGAGGCTCGGAAGAGATTTAGCTGAGTATTACATAGCTGGCTAGTGGCGGGGTCTGTATTTATACACAGTACATTCTCTAAGCCCCCAGGCCAGCTCTGCCATGCACAGTTAAGAGGCCAAAGATCTAAACTTTATTACATGGATGCTTTTCTAAATATTCCAAAAAGGCTAGAGGAAAAAATATAGGTAGGACATTTTCTTCTACTTTACAAATAGGAGTCATAATAATAATAACAGTAGCAACAACAGCTATTTGCTGATTGAAGCCTCTATGGGGTCCCAGCAAATTTCAAGGTGCTTCACTTTGTTTTCTCATTTAATTCTCACGACATTCTTGCAAGGGAAGTATTATTTTCAATTCATTTATAAAGATTTAGAAACTCTGGCTCTGGCAGGTTAAGTAATTTGCTCAGGAGTTTAAAACGTACCTAAATAGATGAGCCCAGATTCAAACCCAGCCCACCAGATGCAACATCCCGCAGCGGCCCATCCGTTGTACTGTAAACTGTGGTTCGTGCCCCTGGCTCCCTGCCACCGGCTGGACAATCGGGGACAGGCAGATAGAGCCTAAGTTTCTGCAGAGACTTTCAGGACCAGTTCAAGGAGGAAAAGGCTGACAGTTGACTACCCGCTGAAGTCTACTTTTGTTCCTCAGTCTAACTGACATAGAAGCAGGCGCTTCGAGAAGCAAAAATGTGCTCATTGAAATTAATTTCACACTTTCATTCTAAACATGGAAGTTGTGGAGTTCATCTATTGGTAATCTATCGATATATACATATATATATATTTTTTTTCTTTTTTCTTTTTTAGCAGCTGAAGAAAACGAATCCGGACATGAAGTGGCTTGTCCGTAGTTTGCAACAGGGCTGGGGAAGGAGCAAGACTGAAACCAGGTCTTCAAAGCCCTGATGTCACACAGGCTCAGCAGCAGTTGTGTGCATGGCACGGGCAGGTCCTTGAGGGCTTTTATTCACATGTTAGGACCGGGAGCTGTGTGACTGTGTCACTCTCATTTACTCCTTGCCTAGAGTACTCTTCACCCGGACATCTTCTTGGCTCTCTCTCTCTCACCTCTTCTAGTCTAGGCTGCTCATACCTCACCTTTGTATGAGCCCTTCCTGACCACAACTTCCATTTACACTTGTCCTCCACCTGCTCCAAAGCCCCTACGCTCTGCTCTACATTTTTTCTGGCCATACCACTTACTGTTTGTGGACTTATTATGTAAGTTACTAATTTTTATGTTGTTGCCTTGTCTCCCCAATAAAAAGGAAGCTCTCCGAGGGCAGGACCCGTACCTGTTGTATTCACGGACACACCCCAGGCTCCTAGAACAGGGCCTGCCTCATGTGGGTACTCAGTGAATATTTGTGGAATGAGCACGTCTGCAAGTTGGTAAGTTTGGGGCCTCGAGTTCCCGTTACCTGTCCCAGCGCATGTTCCTGGGTCAGATAATGAGGGCAAAGTATGTGTAGTCTCAACGCAGGAAGGTGATACATTTCTGATGGAAAACTGTTATTCTTTAAAAGGACGTATTCTATCACACTATTCCCAAGGAAATTTTAATATCCATTGTAGGTAAGGAAAACTAGTTATCACCACTGTCCCATTTTAGGGATGGATAAACAGATTTGACTGGGAAGCTTAGCCAATGAAACATCTGGGTTACTTGCAGATTCTAAAGTGTTAGGTTAGAACCATTGGCTACCAACCTTTTTTGCTTCTGAAAGTTTATAATGATCTCTGGGCTCATGGGGAGTAATTTTAACCATTTCAGAACAGAGTACGAATTTTTACTTCACTTTGAATAACAGCAAGGTTCATTTAGTGGCAAGACTTTTCTTCTAACACTATGTAATGAAAATTATTTATAGAAAAATGCAAGAAGATGTGTATTTGAAAATATTCAGTCTCAGGGCACCTAGGTGGCTCAGTCGGCTAAGTGTCAGGGACACTCGATTTCAGCTCAGGTCATGATCTTGGTGTTGTGAGACTGAGCCTCACGTCATCAGACTCCATGCTCAGCAGGTAGTTTGCTTGAGGATTCTCTCCCTCTCCCTCTGCTCCCTCTCCCCCACTTGCATGTGCACACTCTCTCTCTCTGAAATAAATTAATACATAAAAATTAAAAAAAAGAAAATATTCAGGCTCTATTGGCTGTATATAAGAACAAAATAGTAGGACGAAGCCACAGATTTCAAATATTTAGCTAAAGAAAGAAAACAGTCTTTAAGGCTCTCATGTATGTAAAGAGCGGAATACCACCTCTGGTCACATTCCAACTAGAGTGGCCTGGCTACATGGAGTGCCTGATGCCATGAAAACGAGTTAAGATATCTGAGATCCCACCAATTTGTGCTTCACCTGAAATACTATCACTATATACATATATATATATGTATATATATGTATATAGAATAATATATTCTATATATCCCCTCTCTGGGCCTCAGTTTGCTCATCTATAAATATATATATTTACCCTGTTGTAAAAGTAGTATATATATGTATCTTAAAGGATGCTTAGAAAATAAGAACAAATACCTTCCAAACCACTAAGAGCCCCATCACCTTCCCAATTCACTGTTAGCAATTTGCTCTGCCCCCTCAGCATCCCACTTTGCATGGAGAACCTCCCCATTCTTGAGTCTCTACCGAAGGAGCAGACACGTCCTATCAATCAGATCTCCAGAGGTCTGTGGGGGCTCCTATCCCCATCCTCCCTCCCTCTGGCTGAGATGGACAGGAGGAAATGAACTTGTGCTGATTTGCATGGCTGGGTGTGCATGGGGCTCCCAGAAGCTGTGTACTGAGTAACCTAGCATCCTGACCTTTCCAGGTGAAGGACATCACTGAAATCCAGCCTACAGCATACCACGGGTTTGTAAACACTCCCTGCCTCCCAATGGTGGCCTCTTAATGTCATCTGAAGAGTCACAAGGAGAGGCTGCTGGCTCCACAGGTATTCTGGCATAATTTGACAGCTGGTTCAAGTCAACCCTTTCTCTTCCTTGACGGGTGGAGGCCAAAGGAAGGAAGTAGGTGGAAGACAGCTTACCTGAGGGTACAGCAGCAGTGCCGAAAGGTACAGAACTAAACATGTCTGCACTCGCCGGAAGTGTCTGAGATGAAGACGGGATAAAGGCATCACCTGGAGTTGCAGGAGTCTGTCAGAGAGAGGCAGAGGGCGCGTGAGGCTGCCGGGAGACCTGGCTCAGCAGTCGTCAAGGATGGGAGGCAGCAGGTGCAGGAAGTAAGGGATGGCGGTGGGGGTGGGGGGTTGCTGCAGAAGCCAGCCATGCTCCAAGCCACCGATGTGGTGGGCAGACCATGAGTCAGCTGTAGACACTGACCGTAAAACAGGAGAAGCGCTACCTACCTTTAGAGCAGCTGTGATAATGAAGTGAGATCATGCATTTAAGCCACTTAGTACCAGGCTGAGGCACATTAGCAGGTGCTCAGCAAAGAGTGGCTAATATCACAACTCTCTGGTTTGAGCCCCTGACCCTTGGGGGGTGTTTTTCAGGCCAAATTCTTCCACGATATGTGGCTTTCATCCTTTAGAGGTGGTCAATTTAAATTGACACGCATCCACGCCAGACCTACTGTGCAACTAGCTCAGAGCTGGTCACTTAATACATGGCAAATAAACAGCCTGACTAAATACACAAAAAAAGCTTAGCGACTAGAGCAGAGACCCTTGTCTCCTGGTGCCTCCCAGAATTCTGCCTGAATCTTTACGTGCAAAGAAAAATAAATATTTTCAAGAAGATGATAAAAAACCGAAGCCTGAGGAGCAGGGAACGCTACAGTGCCCGGCTCACACTGGAATCTGAGAGAGGTCTGTTGCAGGAACTGGTGGGTAAGGTGAAGGGTACCGAAATAAATCAAACAGACAGAAGGGATACCAAGGGGTACTCAAAGAAAAGCATGAGTACTCAGGATTTTAAAGGCCCACACCCATTCACAGCAGCCTTTTGCCTACAGACTATGTCTATTCGATGCCATAATAGCCTTATTTTTCTTTTCCCTTTGGAATAGACTGGGGCAAGCAATTAATTCCGAAACCATGGCAATTAGACAAGGCCAGTTTTAGACCAGCAGCCTGCGGGAGGAATGGCATTGTTCTGGGGATTATTAAATACCCATTGGGACTGCACTTGGGTTCAGGGCCAGAAACACAGCTGGGAGCTGTCGTGTTAAGCACTTTTAAGCACCATCGACGCCGTTCTGTTTCCCCCACGTGACCCTGGGGGAGTCCCATGCCCTCTCAGGGCCTCAGTTTGCTCATCTGTAAAATGAAGGGGATTGGTTAGAAGATCTCTTCAGGACTTTCTAGCTCCACAGCTGGAGTTTCTAAGTGCCCGAGGTGCAGCTGTTACCCCTGGGACGGAGGCGAGAAGGAGACTGGTCAGAGCTGCCCCAGCTTCCCTGGAGACAGGAGTTGTTGTGTCCACAGTCAGGTCTGCTCGGGACATCAGGTGGCAGAGCAGGGGCAGTAGAGTCTCGTGCCATCTGTCCCCAGTGGTGAGCTTATAGCCTTTTCTCTGTGAGGTGCACCTCACCAATGAACCATAGCACCATCCCTTGGTCTGCACAACCTCGTAGAGCCCAGAGGAGCCGCCCCCTCCCAGCAGCTTCTGCAGGTGCAGCTGTGGCTCACTGCTCTCTGCCCACCTCCCACCTCTGGGGAGTGGGCACATGAGGACCTGGAGGGCCCATCTCGGTTCTGTTCTATGCTGTGGCCATAGGGTTGCCTTTGAAGGCAACTCGTTCTTAAAGCACTGGAATTCAATTTTGCTTAGGGTTTAATGCTTTTTTCTTCTTTTCATTTTTCAGTTAGGGTTCCCTGCAATCTCTGTCCCTCTGCAAGCAGTGACTTCTAATGACAAGCAATGGGATGTATACCCTGGCTGCAACTAGAGCTGGGAATCCAAAGCTTCATGAGAAGCTCAGCGAAGCTGGGAGGTGGGGGGAAGAGGGGAGGAGACAAAAAGAAGAGGGAGAGAGGAAGGAAAGAAGGCAGGAGACGGGACAAGGCAGAAGGGGCCGGGGGAGAAGGTGCTTCCTTTCTGGGCTGAACACCTGGCTGGGTGGGCTCTGGGTAGGTGCTGACAAGTGCCCCATCGTCTGTAGTCCCATTGAGTTTCTTGCCCATATTCCCAACTAGACCATGTGCTCCTTGCAGGCAGGGACCTCATCCCGTTTATGTCTTTCTCCACTGCCCAGCAGAACAGCAAGTACGCAGGGGGGATCCTGTAATTGCTGACGCATGGTCTCACTTCCTTCTCAAAACAGAAGCAGGTATCATAATCCCTTTAAAAAGCAGCAGAGGAAACTGAGGTTTAGAATCACTAGTAATTTGCCCAAATCACACAGCTTGCAAGAGGCAGAGGTGAAACCCACTAGCAGCCCTCTTTGGCCCAAAACGCATCTTCTCGCCACCACGCCGCCGAAAAAGGAAAGGGGAGGGACATAGGGCCGAGCTGCAGTTCATACTTACGGGGGGAGAGGTTATATCAGGAGGGGTGGACATGTCCCCAAAAAGTTCTAATTGGGTCACAGCCTGAAAAGACAAAAAGAGAATGATGTCACCACAAAGGGAAGCCAATGCTGCTGGGCGCTGCCTTAAAACGGTGTGACATGAGGACCCTTGTTTCTTTGTCATCATTACTATATACACAATAAGCCCAGCTGGTCATTACCATACCTCATGATCCTAAAGACAACACCTGGGAGGCAGCCAGAATCAATTCTTGCTTCTGTGTGTCCCGTAGCATACCGGGGCTTAGTTAAGGAGATTCAGGCTTAGCCACCTCCCATAACCTGTCATCCCACTTTGCGCTGACTCACCATCAAGCGTAGCACCATCTGTCTTCTCCGGGAAGAAGAGGCAAGAAGGCGACACCCTCACTACTCTTCTGAGTGCACACACGCATTCAAAGTGCCTTCCGTGTGCCAGAAACAGTGAGACATGACCTTATGGCCACTTCTTGGCAAATGCTCCCAAGACCACAAACCTGAGAGGTAGGAATCATCATCCCCATTTTTACAGATGAATCAACTGAGTCTCACAGAGGTAACCTCAAGGTCACCCAGGCCAGGACTTGAATGTTCTGTATACAGAGCATGCAGTCAAATGACAGTCTCTAAAAGAGTCAGTCTTTAGGACAAAAAATGTAGTTGGAAGAAAAGAAAACATATCATTTAATACCAGGAAGGGCATCAAAAACAGCCCAGGATATACACTATTAATCACTGCTAGGAACTCCATCACTGCAGTCACTGTATCGTCTATATCCCCATCCATCATACAGGAGTGTCTGAGCAAGGCCAGCCAGAGCGGCAGAAGAAACCCTTTAAGATATATAATTAATTTACATACACTTCTAGCTTCAGAGACTGTAGGGAGTCTATGGCTAGGAACAAAATGGCCTGCCTTAAAGTATATAATCGTATGCTTTGTGAGAAACCTGCCCACTGAGGAAAAATCTCTTTCGGCTCATCTCTGGATTTTAAGTGACAGCTTGTGATTGGGGGGAACCTAAAAACATCAATCAATTGAAAGGACCGGAAGAGTCTGCCTGCCTGCCCTCCAGGGACCCCTGCACCTGAATTCTAACACTAACCGGGCATGGATAGATCTCTGCACTTAATGCCAAAAAAGGATTGTGCTCTCCTTCTGATGAGTGAGTGAGCTCCGGGTGCTGGAAAAGGTCCCACACCTGTTGATAGATTCCCTTCCAACCTCTGCAACTCCTTGGAGCTATAGTTTCCTCACCTGGACAGTAGAGATGATAATACCTCCTTTGCAGATTTATTGACAATATTAATAACAGGACTTTCTTTGAAGTTTGTCTAAGCCTGGTTAAAAAGGCACAAAAGGCTCTTTTTGCTGAAAGAAGTTCAGCTTGGTTAATGAACTTTCATTCTTCCCCTTAAGCTTTCAGACTGAATAACGGTGTTGGGCACACAGGAAGGCCCCACACACATACTGATTTCCTTCTCAGCTACACGATGCTTTTTCCACACACTTAACACCTGTGAGGTGTTGAGTGCGGTGAACAGAATAATGAGAAATGCCACGTCCCAGCCTGCAGGGAGCTTGCAGTCTGGTGGGATGATCTGTAGAAGTAGGTAATTTCAAGGCAACGTGGCAGGGACGGCAACAGGGGTCTCTGCGGGAGAACGGAGAAAGAGAGTTGGCCAGCTTTTGGCAGAGAAGCTTAAGGAGGGCTTTCTAAAGGGAACAGACCTGATCTGAATTCTGAAGATGAGGAGCAGTTAGCCGGGCAAACAAGAAGAGGAAGGATAATCCAGGCTGGTGCAAGCAAGGACATGAGCAAAAAGGAGAGAGGTCTGGAAGAGTCTGAGCAGGTGGGGGAAGAAAAGCAATTTGTAATGAGCATGCGGGTGGAGGGGTGCAGGCAGGAGACCAGCAAAGTGGACAGGGGTAAGTAAGGTCACAGTGGGACCAGACTTGGCTGGACTCTAGATGCTTGTCTTGGGGAAAGAGTCTTTACCATGTTTACAATATTTTATGTTATTTGGTGAAACTATGGCAATCCTTATGCTCTCTCTTCCAGATTCATAGAAGTATTACTTCTATTTAATCAATTAACATGAAGCTTCTAAGCTTCCTTGCAATTGGGACTCAATGCTTTTAAAATGGCCTACAACTATTTTCAGTGGTAGGAAAATAATAAAATGAAGTTAATAATTAAGTCACACAATTTACATTTCAAATGTGTTGAACTCATGGCACACTTTTACTAACATAATAAATATAATTTATTGGCTAATTTTCTCCTTAAGCACAACTTTTAAAATAACCTTCATTCTTGAGATATAGACTTTCCCTTTGCCAGATGATTTTCACTCAAGGATTAAACGAGAAAAACATGCAGAGGCATAAAACATAGATTGTTATTTCATTCCATTGGATTTGCTGTTTAAATAGAAAGCCGAGTTAATTAAATTTTATAGAAAAGGGGGATTCTTAGGCCATAAAATTAAAAATAATTCTAATAACCATATGTGATTGAGAATCTGGAATAATATCTATTTTCACACCCCTCTCCCCCCATGTTAGCCCTAGTCCTTTTATTTGTAACCTAACAAACCATGTTCCATCTGATAATATTGTTGTAATTAATCATTTTAATGGCCTCAAGAGAATTAAAAATAACCATTCACATTTGTAAAACATTTTATAGTTTACATTTTCCAGTACGTTATCATCATGTCTGAGGCTCATTGAGCTCACTGGTGGCATAGCTGTCTCTCTAGCTGTCCTCTGCACGTGAGCGGAGACCAAGAGATAACACCACTTACCTATGGTTGGTGAGCTAAAAGAAACTGGGCTTGACCCACAGGCCAAGCAACACCTCATTTATCTATCTATCCCTTCACAAGCCCTAGTTAGACTTCCTAGATGAGGCGAGTGTAGCCACAATATTCTCTAACCAGAAGCCAGGGTTCCTAAAGGGTCTACCATGATGGACATCCATCTGAAGAACTCAACTGGAAGGTCACTTCGAGATGCCTACTGGCCTTTCCATTACCAGCACTTCAGACATCTGCTGGTAGCGATGAGGCTGCCGATGGCAGATTCTGCCTCCTTTAGGCCCTGGGCATTTCCCAGGGTGAGCAGAAGGACACTGGAAGCTGCCCCGTCCAGTGAAGGGGAGAAGGATAGCTTCGCTGTTGAGGAGGAAGGTCCTTGATCTCTCCCTCGGGCCAGCCCCTTCACAGCCATTCTTTGATATGAACAAGGGATGGTTTTTGAATAATACTTAGAGTGCTGTGCCACTGAGGTTTCAAGATTAGTTCCCTGGTCCTTCCTTCTACTAGACGGCTGGCGGACTCCGAGGCCCCCTCCTGCAGAGAAATTCTGAAAGTGCCACTGATGAAGGCTGAGATGTCCTTGGCTGACCCCCAAACACATTCTCACAGCCCCACTCCTTATGTTTTGGCATCAGGCACTCCTTCGTGTAGGAAAAGTATGGAGCCCCTACTGTGCATCAGCTGCCGTACTGAGAGCAGGGGATATGAGCCTGTTCCCGTTCCTACTCTCATGGGCTGGCTGTTTGATGGAAAATCAGACCCATCAACAGAATCAGGGCAGCGCAATGGAGAAGAGAGACACACACAGAGTTACAACAGGAGGGGCCACCTCAAGGCCTTTGCACATGTTCCTCCTCCTACTGAGAGTATTTATTCCTTCCCCAATTGCCTCTCCCACCCATCCTTCAGGACAGAAATTAGAAGACGTTTTTTTCTTTCTGGGAAGTGTTTCCTAACTCAATTTGCACCCCACCCCACTGTCCAGAACAGCTTATATGATACTTGGATCAGCGGTTCTCAACCTTGGATGCACCTGAGGGGAAAGACTGATGCCTGCTTTCCACTCTCCTAGAGATTCTGAATGAGCCAGTTTGAAGTACAGCCTAGTAGCTGCGACTTTAAAAGCTCTCCTGGTGATTCGAATTTGCAGCCAAGGTCGAGGACCCCTGTCCTAGAGACTTTCCACACACCCTCTCGTTAGAGGTGATACTATTCACTGGCCTGTGTATCAACCAATCTGAATAAGCACTGGCTGCAAACCAGTATATCTAGTCCAGGGTATACCGACCACATCGCAGCCTTGCCTGGTTTTTCTTCACTTACGTGCACTCAGCGCATCCTGCTTATGTGCCCGAACCCCCAGGGTACTGTTACGTTACGCTACACCAGACTAACCTACCTCATCTTACACATGCTGTGCACTGGTTCACTGGGACATTGTGAGCTTAAGGACAGCGTCTTGTGTCCTCCCACTCTACTGAATCTCTAGCATCCATCAGAATGCCCGGGACATGCTGGGAGCTTGAAAAATATTTGTTGAACAACACCAGGTCAGCTACTCTCCAATACACAACCTCAATACACACACACACACACACACTCATACACACATACTTTCTGAACTCATCACGGGGCTCACCAATAATCTGCCCGTGAACGTTAGACTAGGCACCCACTAGAGCAGAGCCCCCACCTGCCGTTTACGCAGGCTGGATGAGGAGAACATGGAATGCGTGAATGCGAATGACCAGAATGACCGTCATTTACCAAGAGCCTGGAGGCCTTACCTTTGTTGCCTCCAAAATCTCATCAAAGTCCACAGGCAGGTTTCTGTTCTGTAACCACAAGGCATGACTTATGAGCATGAAATGAACAATGGGATAATGACCTGAAAGAGTTAACCAGACACAGACAGGGCCCTCTCATTCTTACCGGAGTGGCTGCAGCAAACCGTTCTTCAAAATCCTCAAACAGGTGACCGTTCTGAAAGTGTAAGTGATGATGAATGAGGATGAAGAGTCTGACACACAAATGGCATGGATTTATGAGTTTAATGACGACAGGATCTATGCTTTCCACTCCCACGGTCTCCCTAGGCAGGAGCTGTGGCCAGCGTGTACCCCGCAGAAGCAGATGATAAAACACGGGCCTGATCAGGAGGAAATCCAGCAGTGGTAAGTTTGTAGGCTTCAAGAGTATCTTTCTGCAATTCCAGACATTACCCAGCCCGCCTCAATGGTGGCAACAGATAAGAGCATGATGTTTATTTACACTCAAGATTTTTGTTTTAAAAGGAAAAAAAAATACTATCATGTGTTTTGGCCAAACTCTTAACTCTTTGGAGCAGTCTGTGAACAGCTAGCTTTGGAGAGGAGCTGACCCTTAGGCAGATTGTCCCCTCTGCTTGAAATGCTCTTCTCCTCATCTCTGTAAGCTCAAAGCACCAAATTCCTCAAACCCAGCTGGAAGGCCACCTTTTCCATAAAGCTCCCCTTGATCCTCTGAGCTGAAAATCATCAGAGTAATAGCACATCATCTGTACTGATTACATTGTGCTTCTGGAAGCATGATCATGCTGTGTTTATTCCCAAATCCTGGCTGCTCACAGCGGATCTGGCACCTAGCAGTGCTCAAAAATATATGAACGAATGTATGTTTTAAAAGTAGCTGGCAGTTGACCAAATCTGTTAATTTTGTATTTTATTGTTCATAATTGTTGAGGATTTTGCTAAGCGACTCTGTATTTCTGCATTGGCATCCATTTGTGTGGCTGGGCTAACTTCAGGGGCCTTGAATGGACACCAGCCCCTTCTATGAACAAGCCCTAGAAAAACAGCCTGCAGAGTCACAAGTAATTATAAACCCCTAATATGACTCCCCCAGTGCCCCAGTGGTCTTGTGATTAGCAGTCTCTCCCGCCTTCCCCTATGTGCCCCTTAGATGAAACCCCCGTGGAGCTTACCAAAATCCTGTTATTTTTGGTGTGAATTGACCAATCTGGCCTTAGTCCAGGGGACCCAAACCACTTCACTGTGGGCCCTAATAAAGGCATGCACCCTAGGGTCTGCCATACTTTCTCTGCCTGCAGCCTGCCTTGACTTTCCCCAGGTGACCTCCTGAGGTGTGCTCTGTACCTCCTCCAGGACCTGTGAGTAATAAACTTCTCTACTGAAATTCCCTTTCAGTCTTCTGCTGTTCTGTGCTCACCATCTGACACCCTGGCACTCTGCTTAACAAATGCTAATTACCGAAGTCACGCTGATAATATATATTACCGATAATATATATAATATCTATTATATATATGTTTTTTAGTCATCATGTTTTGGTCAATATGCCCAAGCTGATTATTTTTTGGATGATTTCCAAGTAGTGCAACGTTATTATGAATCTAACAATATTGACATTAAAATGGAATTATTATGCATGAACAAATAGTGGCATCACTCCCTGCTTTTGAGGGGAGCTTCCTGTTGGCAATGAAGGACTGGAGAAACCATCTCCCATAACCACCTCCGCCCAGTCTGGAGAAAAGGTGACTGTGCGAGGTCAGCCCTAGTTACGGGGCTGCAGAGCAGAGCAGGAGAACCAATGTGCCCACGCCCACCACAGCGGGGCCTCCAGGCCCACCACCACCAAGTCTGCTCTCAACCACCTGCTTCCACCAGGCCATGGCTTGCCGGGAGTCAACCGTGGCAAAGAGAGGAAGAGCAACCACATCAGCTAACCACATAAATTATTATTATGATTCCATTTGGCCAGAGGTGGGGAGAGCAGGGAGGTAATATTAGCCTAAGCGATCCTGTAATCTATGGTGTGGCCTAAAAGGTTAAGGTTATGTCACTACTATCCTTTATAAATTCCCACACTTCTGGGGATTTATGGCACAGCCCCTACCAACTAGCTCTGGGTCATAACTTTTAATAAAAACATTTTTTAGTGTCCAAAATCTCATTACATCTGTCCAATATAAAAAAGCAAATGGCTTCAGAGCATGATGGATGAATTAAATAAATCTGAAAAACAGCCTGTGGTAGAGTCTCATAAAACCCCCACCATATAACGAGAATGTGTGAGGATAACCAGTGCTGGTATGAGTCCGTCCCTTTCCTGGTGAGAGAAGGGGTGGCCTTTGGTGAGGAGTGGAGCTGTGGTGGGAGGAGGCCTTTTCCGTCCACTCGGACAAAGCGTGGCCTGGGCGTGTGAGCAAAGGCATCTCTCTGAAGTCACACAGACGTGGACCGAACCCTGACTGTGCTACATATGCTCTGTGGGATCCTGGACAACGAGCCAGTCAGCCTGTTTTCTCATCTTTAAAGTGCTGGTGATAATGTTGTCTCAGGTTTATTGAGATGTGTGTGTGTGTGTGTGGGGGGTCTTGTTTGGTGCTTGGCACACAGTAGGTGCTCAATAAATAGCAGTGGTCCCTAGTATGGTCTCATCCTGTCTCATTTGGTACACTTTTGGAATGCACAGGCACATATTTTTTTAATGTTAGAAAACTACTAATAGATGGTATTTGGAAAAAGAAAGAGAAAAAAAAATTTATGGGAGGCCCCTTTTTAGAAACTACCCCTGCTTGAGAGGATAGACCCGACCCCATGTAAAAGGTTGCCCCACACTTCCTGGCCTTAGTCCAGAACCCCCCCAGTCCATCCTTGACCCTGTCTTCTCCCTCACATCTCCCTTCTGGCCAGTCTTGCCCGATCATTCTCCTGGCTACACCTCTTATACCTGGTGCTGGTGGTGACCTTCCTGTTTTAATCCTGGCTCAGTCATTCTTTGGACCCCCGTCCTCCTGTCTGGGGCAAGCTTCAGGGACACCCCATGCATTTCATCCAGCCAGTGGGGAGACCCTGCCACGAGGGCACTTCCTCCCTGTTGAGTTTCATGGTCAGGACCTGGAATCCATTCTCTAAGGCCCTCCCCATCCCCAGCTTGCTTTACCTATAATTACTACTAGAGTTTTTGTTCACTCATCTTCAAGTCTTCTTTTTCCCCTTTTAGATATGTTTCTCACATTTATTATGATGGCATGCATTCTGCTTCTCAAGACTCAATATGACATCAAATTTACTCATAATGTACACCTCCAGTGAGGGTTTAACAGAAGAGATTCTCTTGTGTTGTTTCAAGACAGTTCTAGCCCGAATCTTCATGAAGACACTGAAAGAAAGCTTCCACAGGGAGTCTATCTTCCCAGAGTCTCTGTTTGGAGCAGAGGGAACACTGTTGTCCCCTAACTGAACAAATTAACTATTAAGGTCAGACTCCTGTTAATCTTACAGTGAACGTGACAGTGGGTGAGATGGGCTGTGGGTGAACACACAGATGAAGAAATATTTATGGCTGCCAAATCAGAACCCTGCAGTGATTCTCACCCCCCGGCTGCACAGTGCAATTCTTTGTGTGTGTGTGTGGGGGGGCTTCACCGAACTACTGATGCCTAGGCCCCACTACCAGAGATTTGGATTATCAGGGTTTGGGGTGGGGTCCTGGCATCAGTAGGTTCTAAAAGATCCCCAGGTGATTCCAATGTGCAGCCAGACTTCAGAATCACTGTGCTGGGGAATGAATTCTCTGTAGGAATAATTAGTGAAAGTCCTACTGGGAAAACTGAAGACATCTTGATTGATTACATAATTGATTAATTAATTTCTTCAACAAACATTCACTGAGTGCTTTTCACATGCCAAACTCTGGCTAGGCGCTGGAGATAGAAAGATGAATAATACATGGACCTCGCTCTTCCGAAGCTCAGAGCGGAGCAAGAATATACAATCATTCCAGTTTGGGAGTGGAAAGAAGTGGGGCCAGGGAGGGTGCAAGGCATCTACACCTCAACTCAGAACTCAGGCCGATACTACAGAAGAAAGAATTCAATTATCCATTTAGAAAGCTCAGGAGAAATGGATTAACTTAAGTGATTTGTAACGGCACCAAAGTGGGTACTATTAAGGCACCTAGTGATTCCAGGCATTTGAATGTATGTACCTTTCCCTGGTGAGTGATCTAACAAGGAAGACACATGCTAATGAAGACTAATTCCCTCCGTGGTATCTAGGAGTTGAGCTTTCTATCACTGTTAGCCAAGAGTAAACAGCTGCCTTCCTACCTCCTGACAGAGAGAGACAGAAAAAACTCAGGCAAATGAAGAACAAAGTGGGGGTGGTGGTGGAGTTGAGATGGGGACCAGAAAATGTGATGTCATAAATGATTTCTCCCAAGAGCAGCACTGCCCCATAGAACTTTCTGTGCGATGGGAAGTTCTATGTCTGTAATATCCAATATGGTAGACTGTGTGGTTCCACGTGGCTGTTGAGCACTTTAAATACAGCTGGTGTGACTGATGAACTGAACTTTAAGTTTCAATTTTTGGGGGTGCCTGGATGTTGGCCAAGTGCCCTCAAGTTGGTCAAGTGTCTGGTTCTTAGTTTCGGCTCAGGTCATGGTCCCGCGGTTGTGGGATCAAGTCCCGGGTCAGGCTCTGTGCTCAGTGCGGAGTCTGCTTCAGATTCTCTCTCCCTCTTCCTGTCTGCCCCTCTCCCTGCTGGTGTTCACTCTCCCTCTCTCTCTAAAATAAAGAAATAAAATCTTCAAAAAAACAAATTTTATTTAGCTTTAATTAATTTCAGTTTAAATAGCCAATATGTAGCTAGTGGTTACTTTGGTAGTTTAGCTCTAGGGAATATTTATTTAAAAAACAGTTTGCAAAAACAGCAGGCTTCTTCCGGTGTAAAATATTTTTTCATTGCGTGAACTAAGCCAGAGCTAGATATTTGTGGGGCTTTTTAAAGGAAATTAAGATTCATGTTTCAGAGGAAGTCCATGAAGCCTCATCATCATTACAACAGAATGGAGTCCCATTTAATGCCAAAATGTTCCAGGCCTCCTGAGATCTGGGGCTCAGTGGTCTTCCTGGATCCACCCAATCTCATAGAGGAATTGGTGCTGCTTGGAGGATATGTCTCTGTAATGACTGA